GGAGGGAGGGAGGGAGGAGGAGGAGGAGCAAGAGGAGGAGGAAGAGGAGGAGGCGGAGGAGGAGGAGGCGGAGACGAAGGAGGCTGAGGAGGAGGAGGTGGAGGGGGAGGAGGGTGAGGAGGAGGAGGAGGGGGAGGAGGAGGAGGAGGAGGAGGAGGAGGAGGAGGAGGAGGAGGAGGAGGAGGTGGCGGTGGTGCACGACCATCGGGAGGTAAATTTCGCATGGTGAAGATGCAGAAGGCAGGAGTTGTTCCCAGACTCGGGGCCAGGATCAGCAGCAGGATCAGAAGCATCACGAGCATCGCGAGCATCCTCTTTGCCCTGTTCGTATTCCAAACCTTGTTCCGCGCCCTCATCCTTCCCATGCTACTCGTCGTCCTTCTGCTACTTAGTTATCTGCAGCTCATCTCTTGTGCCTCCTGGCTCAAGCCATTTTGCTTCAAGCCTTGGGAAGAAAGGGGACTGCAACACAGACACTGTTCCACTCCATTTGCCGCAGGACTCCGCCAGGACGCGCGCGATGGCTCCTAAGCTGTTCGTCGTCCTTGCGATGGTCGCCTTCTCTGGCGTGGCTGGCTTGGCTGGGAAGGAAGGCGGAATGTTGGGGAGCAGGATGGACGAAGTGCTCGCCGCTAAACCTGGTGAGCCGAAAAGGACGGGAGCATCCACGGCCAGCGCCCCGGCGCTTCAAGCTGAGCAGAAGACGGTCAACTGTGAGGACCACGACGCTGCCGCCTTCGCAATAGCAAGGGGAACATATCCAGAGGAAACCGCTGGCCTCGTGGAGGCGACTGCGTGCACAGGCATCCTCGACCTTAAGGCAGACATGTGCACCGATACGGCGATGGGACACTTGATGATCGTGATGTCTACACTGTGCGCGAAATCGTGCGGGAAGTGCTGAGCACAGTTGCGCCTCTCGCGCGCGCTGGTTCCAGCTTGGCTCCATCTTCGCTGACCCGCCCTCCTCTTCCGCTCTTTCGTCCTGCTGCCGCCCGCGCTGTGCAGCTTCCGCTCTCGAGTCTTGTGCTGTCTTCCGCCCTGAGCCCCATCCTGCTCCTGCTGGGGCCGCGCGGCTCGGCAGCACGAGCGTTGTAACGCCACACATCTCTCGTCACCCCCTTCGGCGACCACGCTGACGACGACGCCGACGCCGCCGACGACGACGACGACGCCGACGCCTACGACGACGACGCCAAAACCGACCTCCACGACGACGCCGACGCCGACGCCAACGCCGACGCCGCCGCCGACGACAACGCCGACGACGACGCCGACGACGACGACGACGACGACGACAACGGCGCCGACGCCGACGCCGCCGCCCACGCCGACGCCGACTCCGACGATGACGGCGACGACTCCGAAGCCCACGCCGACGCCGTTGCCCGCGACGACGCCGACGCCGACGATGACGACGCCGACGACGCCGCCGCCGCCGCCGGCGACGACTCCGACGCCGACGCCGCCGGCCTCCGCGGCGCCGGAGGGGCACGCCGTGGCCGGCGCCGAGGGTGTGGCCGCGGGCAGCCCAGAGGACGGGCCGCCGGGGCCTTCGTCGTTCGGTGCGGCTGTCCGTCCGTCGTCCGTCGTCAACGTCGTCGTCGTCGTCGTCGTCGTCGTCGTCGTCGTGGTCGTCGTTGTCGTGGTCGTCGTGGTCGTCGTCGTCGTGGTCGTCGTGGTCGTCGTCGTCGTCGTCGTCGTCGTCGTCGGCGTCGTCGTGGTCGTCGTCGTCGTCGTCGTCGCCAGCGCCGTGCTTGTGAGGTCCATTGTCGTCTGCGTTGACGTCGGCGTTGTGGGCTGGTGCGGCATCGGCGTCGGCGTCAGCGTCGGCGTGGTTTGTGGCCAGCTCTCGCCCAGGGGCGGTTGGGAAGAGAAAAAGATGTTGAGAGGAGGAGGAGGAGGAGGAGGAGGAGGAGGAGGAAGGAGGAGGAGGAGGAGGAGGAGGAGGAGGAGGAGGAGGAGGAGGAGGAGGAGGAGGAGGAGGAGGAGGAGGAGGATGAGGAGGAGGAGGAGGAGGAGGAGGAGGAGGAGGAGGAGGAGGAGGGGAGGAGGAGGAGGAGGAGGGAGGAGGAGGAGGAGGAGGAGGAGGAGGAGGAGGAGGAGGAGGAGGAGGAGAGGAGGAGGAGGAGGGAGGAGGAGGAGGAGGAGGAGGAGGAGGAGGAGGAGGAGGAGGAGGAGGAGAAGGAGGAGGAGGAGGAGGAGGAGGAGGAGGAGGAGGAGGAGGAGGAGGAGGAGGAGGAGGAGGAGGAGGAGAGGAGGAGGAGGAGGAGGAGGAGGAGGAGGAGGAGAGGAGGAGAGAGGAGGAGGAGGAGGAGGAGGAGGAGGAGGAGGAGGAGGAGGAGGAGGAGGAGGAGGAGGAGGAGGAGGAGGAGGAGGAGGAGGAGGAGGAGGAGGAGGGGATAAGGAGGAGGAGGAGGAGGAGGGAGGAGGGGGAGGAGGAGGAGGAGGAGGAGGAGGAGGAGGAGGAGGAGGAGGAGGAGGGGGATGAAGATGTGGCGAATACGGGGGACCGGGGACGGGGGACGGGGATGAGTAATTAGGAGGAGGAGGAGGAGGAGGAAGAGGAGGAGGAGGAGGAGGAGGAGGAGGAGGAGGAGGGGGATGAGGAGCAGGAGGAGGAGAAGGAGGAGGAGGAGGAGGAGGAGGAGGAGGGGGAGGAAGTTTGCAGCTCCTCCCTCCCCTCTTCTTCCTCGTGCGCTGCCTTTCTCGCTCCCTCTGTGGAGGCAATCCTCTGGTGGTGACGGTGATGGTGACCATGACGCGGCTGGGACAGATGTCAGCTGTAGCGGGAATGATCTCGCTCTCATGCTGTAGCTCTTCGGCTCGAAACGCATGAGGCCCGGACTGCGTCTTGGTGTTGTCGCCGCCGCTGTCGCGAAAGAGTATGTTTCGTTTGCTGTACATTCCACATCACGTTGTCCAGGCTGTGTCGCCCTCCCCCCGCCGTAGGGTGCCTCGCTAAACGTGGCGGACAGAGCGTGGAGTTAAAAAAACGTTGTCCAGGCTGTTTCTAAAGCTGTCCCCGTGCTCCCTCGGTGCCAGAGTGCTCCGATTGCCTCTGTCCATGTCTTCCTGAACGCCGTGAGCCTGTGCGCGAGGTGCAGGAGAAGGCTACGTCCGACGACCACAACTGGATCTAATGCGGCTTCATAGATGTCTCGCTCGGGGGCTTCACCAGAGGATTTGCGACCAGGAGGTCCTCTCCGAAACGTGTGTCAGGAGCCTCCTTTGGTGGCAAGGTTAGGTTTTGAGCAGTGATGGCGGCTGAGATCGATGAGATCCCAGGTGACTATGGCATAGTGTGGTACGAGGGGGACGACAACGGCTATGAGGGGCTGTTCTTGAGGGAGGTGAAGTGTTAAGATCTGGGTCGTCGCGACGCCAGCCTTCGACGTCGATCCTGAGGAGATGGGCACTTCAGGCGATCGTGGCCCCATCAGGTATGTCTTGATGCGGCGTCGTGTCCCTCACGAACGTATCCCGCGGCCGCCTTGCAAGGATGCGGTGCCGTGGGACAGGATCCAGGAGCTTCGTGAGGAGGCGAGGGCTCTGATCGAGTCCGAGGGGCTGACAGAGTTTCGGCACTCCAGAGTGTTCGATCATGAAGGTGAGGTCCGTGCCATCCGTATTCCCTCTTGCCAGGCGGACGGAGGAGGAGGAGGAGGAGGAGGAGGAGGAGGAGGAGGAGGAGGAGGAGGAGGAGGAGGAGGAGGAGGAGGGGAGGGGAGGAGGAGGAGGAGGACGAGGAGGAGGAGGAGGAGGGGAGGAGGAGGAAAGGAGGAGGAGGAGGAGAGGAGGAGGAGGAGGACCCTCCTTCTCGGCATGGTGGCGGAGGAGCAGGCGGAACGCCGCCGCCTCCGGCGCCCACTGGCCCTCCCCATCCCCGCCAGGCAGGGGAGAGGTGCTCCTTGACGTGGGCCCAGCCCTCTTGGCGAGCAGGCCCTGGGTCGCGTCGGGGCCGGTCTTAGATGGCGATCCAGGAGGTCGCGCGCAGCGGCCACGAGGTGGGCGCGAAGGTCCCCTCCAGGGTGAAGAGCCGTGGCCCCGCCAAGCTCGGGAAGACAGTCGGGGCCGCGGAGGCGATTTCGGCGGCTCCTCCTCCTCTTCCTCCTCCTCCTCCTCCTTTCCTCCTCCTCCTTCCTCCTCCTTCTCCTCCTCCTCCCTGCTTCCCTGCCTCCCTCCCTCCCTCCCTCGCTCCTCCTCCTTCCTCCCTCCCTCCCTCCATCCCTCCTCCTCCCCCTCCTCCTCCTCCTCCTCCTCCTCCTTCTCCTCCTCCCTCAAGCCCCGCTGGCTCAGGCACGCGCGCGCCTGCTCGGCGCTCCCTCGCCTCCGACTGGCGCCCCCGCGCTTGCTGTCGACTCGCTGAGGGTGAGTCGCTTCGGCTTGAGGTCTATCGCCGTGGCGCGGCGACAAGATGGGGTCAACACTACAGTACGCAGCGCACGAGCGCTACACCGATCGTGGTGATCGAGTCGCGAGTGGCTTCGCTGACTTCACAAGTTCTTGGGCACGGTAACGCTGACGCGGTTGTGGCCGGATCCTGGGGACGCCATGACGGCGCGCTCAAGACTCCGGCCGAGGCAGCGCTCCCGCTCTCGATCGCACCCGCCGGGCAGGCCGGGCATGGTCCCCGCGTGTGAGAAGCTCAGGGCCTCGGAGCACAGGCAGCCGCCACCGGCGCCTCCGCGAGCTCCGGGGCCTCACAGGTTGAGGCAAGAGCGGCAGCAGCTCCGAGCGCAGCTCCAGGAGGAGAGGAGGGAGGAAGCACAGGACTGCCGGCGCCGGCGCAGCCCGTCCACTCTGTTTTGCTCTGCGAGGCGGAGGCTCGCCGGATGTTCAGAGCCCCGAATCATCAGAGGTAACTCGGGTCAGGGCTAACTCGGGTTCGCTTTTCGGGATTCCGAACCCGAGTTACCCCGGGCCCGAGTTACCCCAGATCATTCGGGCGTCCAGAGCCCCGAATCATCAGGGGTAACTCGGGTCAGGGCTAACTCGGGTTCGTTTTTCGGGAATCCAAGCCCTCGTTACCCTGGACCCGAGTTACCCCAGACAACTCGGGCGCCCAAGATGTGCGAGCCGAAACCGGTGCAGAGCCAGAGCGGGCGGCAAAGGAGGGCGGCAGCGGCGAGCTCGGAGCGACCGGCGGAGGCCACGCGCCCGAGTCGCTCCCCCGCCCCACGGTGGGCGGAACGGGAGAAGGCGGCGGCGCGCTCGCAGCGGCCGGTGGAGGTCCCGAGCCCGCGTCGCCCTGCCACTCCACGCCGCCAGGGAAACCCGCCGCCACCGCCAACGCCTCCCCCGGCTGTGCCAGCGGCGGCAACGCGGGAGCTTCCGTCGTCCCCATTGTCATCCAGCAGCCTCTCTCCGGAGCCTGCGGCGGCTGTGGAGAGGGCGGGGGCGGGACGGACGGACCGACGCCAACGGAGTATCGATACATCGGAGATCCAGGGACGTTCCCTGAGGAGATGGATTTCGATGCGTTTCGGCCGATCCCTGCCTTCCCGACTCTCGCTCACGACAAGCAAGGAGGCCACGATTCAGGAGGGAAAGAAACAGAATCCTCGATTCCCCAGAAAATATGGGAAAATATGGGAAGTGGGAGGGAAGACAAAAACCCAGAAAATATGAGGATTTTTTTTTTTTTTTTTTTTTTTTTTTTTTTTTTTTTTTTTTTTTTTTTTTTTTTTTTTTTTAATTTGTGTGTATTTATTTGTGTGTTCCAGTTCCCCTTCAACGATAATGCAGGCCTCAAGTCCGACGTCGATGGTACTCTTCCAGTGGTCTGGATGGCTTGGCCGTGGAGGCCGGGCCGCCACCGCAAGGGTGCTTCAACGACGGCGGCCGCGGGGCGACATTCTCCATGGATGCGGCCTGCTAGTCCCAAACCGCGAGCATGGAGAGAGCGCAAGGTGCGAGGCCAGGAGGCGAGCCCCGCTTTCGTACCAAAAATAAGGACAATAAGTCAGAAGAGGCAAACTACTGATGATGACGCCCAGACCGCAGTGCGTGGTGATGACGAACCACATTTCCCTGTCTCGCAACAGTTGGATGAGATTGCGGCGTGCGATTTCATATCAGCGGCTAAAACTTAACATATCGTGCGCCGCGCACCATGACTTCCCAATGTTGGTTCGTGCAGGGATGCAACCTTACCTTGCTCTGCTGGTGGACCAGGCTACTGTAATCGCGGATTGGACGCCAGGTTTGTGACCCAGTGGCAGATCTTTTCCCGTTGTACTCGTAGGTTGTGATGCATCTTATCCGTTTTTCCTCAACATGTGTATTGGAGGTTCAGAACTGAACTCTTGGTGGTGCGTTCTCGCGCGGCGCTGTGGCAGCGGCCGCCTGGGATACTTTACGCGGTAAGCTTTATCGATTGATTCGGGTCCCTAGGTGCTTCTGTCGCCGACGTAGATTTCTGGAGGTCTGAGCGCTCCTCCTCCTCCTCCTCCTCATCCTCTCCTCTTCCCCCTCCTCCTCCTCCTCCTCCTCCTCCTCCTCCTCTTCCTCCTCCTCCTCCTCCTCCTCCTCCTCTCCTCCCCTCTTCCTCCTCCTCCTCCTCCTCCTCCTCCTCCCTCCTCCTCCTCCTCCTCCTCCTCCTCCTCCTCCCCCCCTCCTCCTCCTCCTCCTCGCGTTGTGGAAGGTTTCGCGCTGCAGGGGCTCAAGCGGGCTCTGTCTGGCCCTCGCTCCGTGGAGGGCTGTGCGCTGCCAGCGGAGAGCTCGCGGAGGCAGGCGCGCTGCCGAGGACGTGCCACGCCGCGTCGGTGAAGCGCAGCGTCGGGGGCCTGGTGCGGGCGCGTCGAGGGTCGAGGCTGTGAAGGCCAGGCGGCGCTAACGTGGATCAAGGGGGCGTGGATTAGCGTCGGGTTCCGTTTCCGATGGGAATCGCGGATTTCCGCCGCCGAACGAGGCGGCGCCGGCCGCATTTTGGGGCGGGCACCTCCCCCGACCCATGGCTGTGGCGACCGCGTGCCAAATCCATGGATCGCAAATCCATGTTTGCGCGCCCGAGGAGGAGCTGGTGGCTGGTGGAGGATGGCTTCTCGGCCTGGCCTGTGGACGGCCCTCGTGCCTTTTTGTGGCAGATGGCCTTTGCGCAGCTGGCCATGGCGCCGACGTCGTCGACGTACTGGCTGGAGGGGCACGTCCAGACGCCGGGCTGGGGGGGGGGGCGACCGCTCTGTCCGCGAGACGAGGGCCGCCGCCGAGGATTTCGGGCTTGCCAGGTTCTACGGCCAGTTGCGTGTGGCCTGTCTTGCTTGCCTCGAACATAGGGCGACGATATCTATACATATCCACTGCTCCCGGCCAGGCCAATCCTGGGCCCAAGAGCTGTGTATACGCCCTCCTGGCTTGGCCAGGGAGGCATATACACCGCTCCTGGGCCCAGGATGGGCCTGGCCAGGAGCAGTGGATATGCATAGATCTCGTCGCCCTAAAACATGTGTGTCGGCGCTGCCGGGCCATCTTGGAAGCGCGCGCAGGGGATCCCCGCGGCCCCGCCTACGAGATTGCCGGCAAGTTCTGAGGGTACAACCGGCGCCATCAGTCGGTGTTGCCAGCGTTGCGCTCCTCCGTGGCGTGGGCGGTCCGCGAGGAGGCGGATATCGACGCACAGAGCGAATAATTATCATATTCTATATGAGAACGCACGACGTCCCTTTCCGAAGGCAAAGGCCGAGGTTGGTGGCGAAGGAGAGGGGGCGAGTGAGACAGGGCGCGTCTTTTCATGGCAACGGTCAGTGCGGTCGCCGCGTGCTGGGCAGGCTTAGAGGCGTGGTGAACGCCGTCGGACCCCTTTGTATCTTCTCGATCTTTTGTAGGAGTAACCGGTGCCGCTCAAGCCGCTTTCGCGGAGATGTGGGCGTCTCTCGGACATTGTATGCGCCGCCTGCGTGAGCGCGGCGGGATGTTGAATGGTCTCAATTGGCTTTTACTCCCGCGCGCAGAGCCCTCTCGCTGGCCCCGAGGTGGTTGGTGAGGTGCGCGATGCCGTCTCATGTCGAGTGGCGCCTCGGCCATCTGTGCCGTCATCTCGGGCTCAGGATGGGCGTGCGCGATCTCTTCCAGAGCAAGCTTGGTTGCGGTCGCTCTGCTTTCACTGTCGTCGAATTCGGCCGTGCGCTTGCGCCCCTGCCCGACGATGTCCAGCGCCGCAATCTTTTGCGGGGCCCGGTTTCGGAGGGGAAGGGGGGGGGGGGCGGCGATGGGTTTCAGCGGGGCGGGGGGTCTGGCGAGGGACGTGCAAGAAATCGTTCGAGTGACAAAACTCGGCGAGCAAATTCAGCCATTGTTCGATCGGAAGCCTTGAATTCGAAGGTGCGAGCACGTTCGGTTTTTTGTGCAGATGTTTCGCACGCGCGGCCCAGTAAGTCGACTGCGCCTGAAGGTGCTGCGAACAAAAGGAAGGCAGAGGCTCCTCGTCGACGACAGGGGTCCTAGCCGGCTTTTTTCAGGCAACCTCCTGGCACCTTGATGGCCGCCCCCGAGAGTTTCTCGAGGTCGGAGATGGGGGGGGGGGATGGAGTTGCATGGGGCCCCGCTCGAAGTCTGCAACTGTTTCCGCGGGGTTGGGGGCGGCGCCGGCGTGGGTGATTGCCGAGGGTT